TGTGTGTGTGTGTGTGTGTGTGTGTGTGTGTGTGTGTGTGTGTGTGTGTTGGGGAGGGGGTGAAAACTGATCTTCTGGCGGTCAGAACAAAAAAAGGACCATTTTCTGTTACAGAACTCTTTTCTGAAGCCTCTTTGATGGCCAGAAATGGTGCGGGTGGGGAGAATTAGTCATCATAAGAGGCTCCTGGTGATGCTTGGTAAAGAGCATCTGCCCTGACCCCGAGGGTCTGGAGTGAAAAGACCCTGGTTTAGACTCTTCAGGGGAGTAAGTGGGATTTCTCGTTTCCCGCTTCCCGAACCTCTTCCCCTTTCCAGCCGGTACCGGCAATTTAGGAAACAGCCCCCTTTCCCGTCTAACCCGCTGGCCCCCGCAGATCAGAGGGAGAGGAGGCAAGCCAGTCTCCGGGAGGCATCCTCCAGGCCCAGACATTCGTCTCTGTCCATTTCAAGGCGCCCAGCCTGCGCCGTAAATAACAAAGTACTGCGCCCACCGCGGAGGACACTGCGTCCTCTCTGCGTGTTTTATCCACGAGTCTTGGGCAAGTCTGGGTTCTGGGGCTGCGATCAAGAGCCCGATTTGAGACTGGCTCTGGAGTTGGAGGAAGGGCCCCGGGGGGGGGGGGAAGAGGGGCGGGGGGGGGGGGGGGGGGGGGGGGGGGGGGCGCGGCTCTTGCGAGGATTACGGCGGAGGCTGTGGACCTTGGCGCGGCTCGCGGAGGCTGCAGCCATTGCACAGCCGAGCATCCCACATTCAACAGGAGGAACCCGCGGGAGAGGAGCCCGAGCCCCCCGCGCCGCAGCCGCCGCAGCCCGTGCGCCCCGCGCCCCAGTGTGCCATGGCCAAGGAAGGCGTGGAGAAGGCGGAGGAGACGGAGCAAATGATCGAGAAGGAGGCAGGCAAGGAGCCCGCTGAGGGCGGCGGCGGCGGCTCTCACCGCCTCGGGGACGCCCAGGAGATGCGCGCTGTGGTGCTGGCCGGCTTCGGGGGGCTCAACAAGCTGCGGGTCACCAGGAAGGCCATGCCCGAGCCGCAGGACAGCGAGCTCAAGATCCGCGTCAAAGCCTGGTCCAGTATCCGCGTCTTTCTCGCTTTCTCTCTTTGCGCGCTCCGCGCTCCCGGGGCGGGGGTGGCGGAGCCTCGGCGGGGCCCCTGCGCGGAAGAGCGGCCGTGGGCGTCCCCTCCGCGCCCTTCCCGGGTCTCAGAGCCTCCCCGCGGCCGGCGGCCGGCTGACGCTGGGGAGGATGCTGCGAGGTGGCCCTCGCCCGCGCCAAGCCGGATCTAGGGTTGACCGGAGGGGACTGTGAGCTCCTGCGAGGGGAGGAACGCGGTGGATGGTGGCGCCCAGCACCCGGGGTCTGGAAGATTGCGCTGCGGGGGCTCTCCGTCGGGTAGACAGCTCAGCTGCCAGGAAAGGGAGTTTGATAACACGGTTAAAAAAAAATAATAATAACCGTCGGCTTACTGTGTACCAGCCTTCGTGTTTAGAGTTTTATGTGTGCGATCTTATTTAATACTTCCTGGGACCCGATGAGTTAGGTACCATCATTATCTCCCGTTTCAGGTGAGGAGACCCGGGCTCAGGCAGTGATTTGCCCGAGATCTCGTGGCAGCTACTAATTGACCTGGCCAGGATTTGCTACTCGATCTTTTCAGCCTCTGTGCTGCGGTTCTGCTGGGGCTGGCGACAGAGTGCAGGGCTGGGGAAGTGCGTTTTCTCTCCCCACTGCTGCATTCTGCCCCTCTGGTGCCCTGGTAGGGACAAAGGGACTGGGAAGCAGGGGGTTAGGTCCTGGAGCATCTCAGCTTGGTGAGGGGTGAGGCCAAGGCTCCCTCTTCCCCACTAGCGTCTTCTGTGCTTCTCCAAAGTGGAAAAACAAACAACCGGCAATCTTCTCAGAACTCCTGCCCCCATCTCAAATGGAGCTCAGCAATCTGAGTGTCCTTCCATTCCCGACTCCTCCTGGGGGAACTTCAGAGTTATACCCAGCTGGGATTCGCTCTGGAGGGCTTAAGCCTCTCTGTGTGCTGTCACTATATGATCATTTCTCTGAAGTTCTAGGAGGGAGGGCTCACTCACCCCAGGGGGTTTACTGGACCCAACACTCTGAGTTCTTTATGCAGTAGCGTGGGAAGCGCCTAAGGGGAGCCCGCTCTTGGCACAGTTAGATGGACTTACCCTTTCTCATGTCTGTGTTTTAAAGGCAATAGACACGGCTCCGGAAAGGAGCAGTCAGCTTACCTGTTCCTAGGTTAGACCCCAAACCTGGACTCTGCGACCATATGCAGAGGCAAGAAAAATGCAAAGGATTTTCTCCTCCCCTTCGCTGCTTTGAGAGCAGGTGCAGGATTCACATGCCAGGCTGGAAGGCAGCTGGTAAGAGAAGCAAGCGCTGGTTTCTGACTCACTCCTCACACATGTAGCAGGTCGCAGTTGCCTCTAAACATGACTCTTGGGAATTCAGGGTAAGGGAATAGGCTTTTGCAAACTGGGGGATCCTGTACAGTTCCATTTTGTTAACTCTTGTGAACCAAGCTGATTGATCCCAGAAGGCAGGGCTTGCGTCTGCCCTTTTCACCAACAAATCCCCGATGCCCAGCATAGCACAGCATGGTGCTTGGCACACACCATGTCCAACATCAGTTACTGCTGAAGGAATCAGTTATTGCTGAATGAATGGAGTGAGAAAAGACGCTTGAGCCAGGACTGCTGAGTCCTTATTTTTCTTCGCTTGCTGGTGGAGGAACATCTACCTCGTAAAACTAAAACTATATATTGATAATTTTCCTTCCTTAGCCACAGATCAAAAATATTTCGTGTGTGTGGGGGGGTGGGGGGTGTATATAATTTATGACTCTCCATCCAGGGTATGTTCAGAGAGTGAAAATGTTGAAGCTACTTTTTAAAGAAAAGAGCATCACTTGCCATACAAATAGGTCTGGGTTCTCTAGTCTTATGCTAATTACATAGATACTGATAGGAACTGAAGCATTTTGAAATAATAAATGTCAAGATGAAAGCCAGGAGGTTGCTTTTCAAAGCCAGATGCACAAGCCTGTTCTTTCTTGGAGCTGTACACACACACACACACACACACACACACACACACACACACACACACACACACACAC